TAAAGCTTTTGTGAGCTTTTTTTATTTTCGTTGCGGTAAGTTCCAGCAATTTGCCTTAAGACAGAATGCCATGCACCACTAGTTATTGATAAGTTATTTATAAGAATATAAATATCCTATCAGCAAATAGGATTTAGTTGAACTCCAAAGACTTGTTTCTGCATTATTCGATTTGATGAGGCAACTCTCCAATTAGAAGAGATAATATTTGAAAGGACAAAATGTTAAATATACATTAAAAGCTTGCCATTTTTTATTCTCGGTTTCTATTTACTTTTCACATACTTTCTTTATTGTCATTTAATTTTTTGCTTTCAGAATCGAACAATGTTAGCGCATTACGTTCTTAGATTATCCCATACGTTTTGAAATATGATATCGCACTTCAATGTCAAGTAACCATATAACACTCACTTGAGTACACAAATTATACGTTGAAAACGCTATTATGATATATTGACGTCGAATAAAAGTGTATGATGGCAGGTAGAATTGCATTTTTATAAATTGAAGTAAAATTGATCGCAATGTCTGACACATTTCATCAACACGTTTGCTATTTATGAAATATATTTTTCCTGAAAGTGATTCTGGAATTCGCAATGGCTATTGTTTTATTGTTGAAATGTTAGTGTTAATTATAATTAGATTAATATTTGAGATTAATGAAACGAAACAGGTATGTTTGGAATGCAGTTTATTTTTTTATCGGTCACCCGATTCGTGTTTTATTTATTCCTATTAGTAATAACAAACAAAATTCATTTACGATGTAGGATTATGTTTACATAATACATGTACCATAAATCTACGCCGCAAAATTGCTAAAATTATTTGCTATATGAGTACGTTTGATTGTGGCTTTCAAATAGTATTTTATTGCTTGTACTGAATATACATACCTGGGTTTTGAAATAGGAATTTATTCAAAACGTTAAATGATCAATAAAATTAGTTCATTATATTAGATGGAGTTTCAAAGGTCCAATTTGACTTTAGGTAATTATACTGTCTAAAATAAATGAACTACATCACAACAGGTATCAAACAAACAACTATCGTACTATGTTCAATAAAATTGCTAGTGATTATAGAAGTGTGTTTTTTACTATTTTTCTAAAATTTGTCATCGGTCTCTTTTTATCCCATAGGTGGGGTAAAGTACAGCCAAGGGGCAAACAGATCCAATGTCTTATTTTTAATTTTAAAGGGATTTTACGAAACAATGGCTACAACATTTAACCAATGCAAAATATAAATTTCTTGAGCATATTTTTTACAAAAATAACACTGTATATAACCTTGATCTGGTGTTTTGTCAGAAATATTCGTCAGCAGAGTTGAAATAACTGCTTTATTACTTATAAAATTGCTATTTAACTGAATTTATATTTTTATCTACAAATTTTTATTGCCTTTGCCAGGGTAAAGGTTCAGTTGGTTCTTTTTATCCCATCCACATGTAAGCTGTTATACAGGTTATTTAAAATCATCTGTTGATTCTAACCTAGGCTTAACAATGCATCTTATAAAAGAATTAAATAACGTATACTTTCAAATTATATTAAGGTCTCGTAAGCTACACAACAGTGCTCACAACCAAATAAATTAGTTACGAAAGAAAATACTATTGTTATAGAGTTCCAAACATTTTTGTTTATTCCCTGGTGGCGATGTAGCTTGATTTGAGACCATGGCTGATGACACATTTTTTTCACTCTACTTACAAATATTGTTGTTGAAACATTTTTAACTTTACTTGTTTTTGAAATATTGGTGGTGGACTTTTTTATCTATGGACTTTTAAGCTCCGCTTTTCTTTATACGTAACAGACTTTTATAATTGCATTTAAACTAGAACTAGAATTGCTTCTGGGTTTTAAATTTTCCCAAGTTTTGTTAGATTTTTTTTTATTTTTTTGAATAATTCCTTAAAGCAAAAATTCATATTATTCCGCTTATTTCATTTTCTCAAAATGTCTACCAATTCAAATTTAAATTGCAAAAGTGTTCTCGTGAATCATTCATTTATCGAAAGGTAAAAGACCGAGTTCATTGAATAATCATCTAAGTCCTTTTTTATGTACATGTTGTTTGTATAAACTTTGTTGATGTTTAGGGCTTAATTACTCAATCTTCGTTCTATGAATATTTTTTACGAGTTTTATTATTTATTTAATATGTAATTTATATATCAAAGAAGTATTTATAAATATCTGAGGGTTTAGACCTTTCTGAACTTTTTATCTAATTTAAGCCGCTACAAACTTGTTTCTGAATTTTTGTTATGCTGAAATTTAAATCATTTTAAAAACTTGAAATATATGATTTTACTGTATGAGTGAATTATAAAATTATGAATTCAATTAAAAGACATAACTAAAATTAGGCATAGGTTCTAAATCAATGGTTCTCAATCCGTGGTTTCCAACCTGTGTGGCGCACCTTTACAGCGGGCGCGAGGCATACAGATGTTTCCATTCCAAAATCCAATTTTCGAAAATAAACGAAAAAAATTTAAAAGAAATAAAAAATGAACGAAAAAATAATTATTCTTATTCATATTTTCACATAATGGATATAGCATATTAATTTGTAGTCTGATAATATTAGTTGAGCATTTATGAAATGAAATTGTTGTAAAAATTAATCATGTTTTTTATAAGAACGGAGAGTTTGGAAACCACTGGTCCAGATACTTATTCCAGGCGTAATTTTACATATATATATATATATATATATATATATATATATATAACACTCTAAAATTACACGAACATATTGTAACAACTTAAATTATAGCACATGGGAATAAAATTGTTTTCTTTTTTTATCGTTTCAAAAATTATTTGATGCAATTTATTTAAATAGTATAAAAATAATAAAAAAAAAAAATTTTGATGCTGGCCAATTTTCAATATCAATGATTTTATTTTTCAATATCAATACTGGTAATTTAACAACAATGATTTTTCATATTTTTTTTTTTAACAATTTTAATTTTTAATAATTTTCAGAGGCAAGATACCGCCTTAATTTAGAGTAGGTGTTTATCTCTGGTCGTACTAGTTACATCATTTTAAATATTTACCGACGCCTATATAAACTGAAGGTTTACAGTTGAAAATCCACTTTTACCTTTCTGACCGACGAAGCAAATTATTTATCTTTACACATATATTTAGATAGGTGACTAGAACGACTGGACCTGAATCAGAGGTTCCGGGTTCGATCCTGCTTTGAGCAGCCTGTTGTCAAGCAATAGTAACAAAGGTTTTCACTTGTAAATATTGATAGCAATATGGAAAAATTGCCTTCGCCCGGTATTGCTACATCAATAATTATTTTCCCTATTACAGACATTGTAAAAATAATTCATTACACCTGACAACTTTTTGAAATGCCATCTGTTAACAACAGTAATAAGTCAAATAAGCACAACTGCTTGTAAGACTCTTAAGTTCTGATTGCTGTTCAAAATCATAAAAAAATAAAACATATATATATTTATATGTATTAAACAGTCCAATTAGCGATCTGCTAGAAGACATGTTTAAGAACTTTCACGAAATGTACCTTAACTGAAAAGCTTTTTCTTTCTATTTCTTCGCTCAATTTTCGAAAGATCCAGTTGGCTTGCCTTTCCAGATCACTAGTTCTTATATCGATCGGTCTTTTTTTCTATCTAATACAAATAATTTTTGCCGATCTTCTCTAGAGTAATTTCTCTGATCCGTGCTGAGCTATGCTGCATATGTAGCATTCTCTTTGTTCTGATTTCTTCACAGAATTATTTTCCTGAGGGAATTGTGACACTGACCATTTTATTTTTGTCTGCCAAAGAACAATAGATTCTTGTTTTTGATTAAAAAATTGTTGAATAAGTATTACAAATATATTATAATAGTTTTGAATATAATATACGATATTTAATAAAGTAAATTCAAAGACAATATATTCAATTTTTTCAGTAATAAAAATATAGATAGTTAATAAATAATAGAGTATCATGATTATTAGAGAAATTATAATATTAAAAATATATTTAATATATTTTCAGTTTTAGTTTTCGATTAACATTGGATTTGTTGAATAAGTATTGCAAATACATACATTATAATAGTTTAGAATAATATACGATATTTAGTAAAGTAAGTGCAAAGATACTATGTTAAAATTGTTCAGTAATAATAATATAAATAGTTAATAAATAATGAAGTATCATGATGATTTGAAACATTTTAATAATAAGAAGATTTTTAATATAGACAAGTTGGGTTTTCTAAAAAGCCACGAAGTTAGGAAAACTCATCACAACCAGTTTACAAGACTTTAGGCTTATAGGAAATTCTGAACGCTGTTCAAATAAGTAAAAAAAAAATATTTTTTTTGTGAAATATTGATGTTTTTCATCAAATTCAAATTCAAAAAAGCGATTGAGTTCAAAAGTGCAATACATTTAAGAATGTTCTAATAATGAGATAATGTTTACAGATATATAAAGATTTTATCTTGGATAAAATATAATGTATATTTGGATAATATATATAATGTATTTATTGAAACCAAAATATTTTCACAAACTTTTATTGGTAATAATAAGTAATTTTAAACCTTCTGAAAAAAATTCTGCCACATATTTTAATAATAGCTTCAGCATGTTAGATGATGAATTTTCTAGATTATATATATATATATATATATATATTTAAAGAAAACATTTTATATAACTAATTTAATTATAATATACACGTAGTTTCAATGTCAACATATTTTTAAAATGTCAATTTTTGGTTAGAGTTTTGGTTTAGTTTGTATGCTTTGATGATTCGCGATGGATATCACAATAAGTCGTTCATTAGAAATACTGTGTCTACTTCATTGATTTTATTAAGCAATTGTTTATTAATTAAAAAATGTATGCATACAATTTAATAATATAATTATTATTAATCTATGTATTAAATATTATATTAATTATTTTATTCTTCAATTTACAGTCATGGCGAAGATCTCATCGTTACGCCGTTCGCGCAGATCCTTGCCCGCCTGAGAAGCGTTCGAAACAACTTCCTCAGCCTGACCAATGCTCTGCCTTCCAAGTAAGTGGATTACATTATTTATTATTAATGGAAATAATTGTTTAAAATACTTATGTACTAAATTACTATCTATGATGGAATTGTATAGTGTATGTAAGTCGCCCGAGTTAAGGTTAATAATAAAATAGTCTTGGTAAATGTGAATATCATTAAAGTTTACTTGCATTCGTTAGAAATAAGGTACTTAGACTTAGGAGTCAATTCTATCATAAAATAGAACGTAAGATAACGTTGTTATGGCAAAGCTATGTTACGGTCCTTCCGCATATAAATTGATAATAAAAACTGTCAAAATGTTATGTACTTGCTGTGCAGTCAGTCGTTTTAGATATAAGATATAACCTGAAAAATGCACAACCGTCATAAAAGAATGTATCCATAACTGCATCTTTCTAATGTTCATTTATAACACATACGTGAAGTTAGGTTCTATGTCTAAAACGCCTGATTGCACAGCAAATACATAACATTTTAATAGTTCACAAAACTATTTTTCACGAAGAAAGAACTGTAACATAGCGTTGCCATGACAACGCTTTATTGAGGTCTATTTTATCGGAGAATTGTCTCATTAATCGGATGTAATGTATAATAACAAGCTGCCTGATCATCTAAATGGCTCAGCAAAGAAGTTTCTGCATAAACTTCATTTCTGCTAGTAAGTCAAAATACATTACATTTTTTATAATTTCTTTTTTTATTGTAATCAATGTAAGTAACTGCATTATTTGATAAAGTTTATTTTTCTATACTTTTTGAACAATTTATTCAATGCCTTATACAGAAAAATATTAAAACATTCATTTAAAAATTATTAGTCTGCATTGTCTAGCACTTTTTTGGTATTAAATTCAATTTACTTGTATATTTTATTAATCGTCGCAGGTGGTATTACTAAATTAAATTTTTAGAAATATTGTTCGTAGTTCTTCAAGGAAATAATATAAGAACTATATTTTCATTTGGAGAAAATTGTAGATCGCGTAATTGCAAGTCAAACCTTCTAAGGAATTTTCCTTTTATAATATTGCAGAATTTTCTCAAATCGATTTCAAATCTACTTTCTTTCATAATTTTTATCTGTGTAGCCTGATCGTTTGATCTTTTGTAGTTTGTACAATTATGTTTTGTTTGTTAATAATTTTTTGTGATGGTGATGATTATTATTATTATTATTATTTCCTGTTTTTTTTTATCAATCATTATTGAGAGTTGCTTATTATTATCCTAGTAATCACTACGGGTATAAATCAGTAAAAATTTGAACTTTGCGTTTGAAATTTAGGCTTGATTGGAAATTGAATAGACTTTAAGCTTATTTTATTTGAGAATTTGACATTTTGTAGTTACTATGTATATCATGAAATTATTTGACATTAGTAGGTACGATTTAGTTGGTAACACCCTTCACTAAGTCAGTTTTCTATTAACATTTCTTATTTCTTACTTATTTTTCTTTTAGTTTCTTAATTTTTGTTATTTATCATATTTTGTACTTTATTTAGTTCTTCTGTTACCATCCTTTTAATAATGTATTGCTTTTCTTGTATTATTTCTCTTGATTGACGAAATAATAAAGTGGGAAAAATGCATCAATAGGTACTTATTATGAATAAGGTTTTAACAAGAACCCGAAAAAACATTTTATCATTATTGATTACAGCTTGCTTAAAAAATAAATAAATAAATAAAGTGTCAATTGTGAAGTCATCAATTATTTAGCAATACAAGTACAGTTACTGTGACCTATCTAATCATAAATCAATTACTCCATTTTGCACTGATGTAATTTAATTATTATAAAAGTATATCGCAAAGTTTTAAACTTTATATAATATATCTCTTAACTTAATTAAATGTAATATCCAGTCGTTCATAACTTGTAACGTTATATGTCATTTGAGCCCGTGGACGGTAATACGTTTATGAAAGTTTCGAACATTGTTGATGTTTCATCAATCATCCGCAGATCTTTAGAGACTAAATGGACTTTCGGTAACAATTCTCTTCTGATACTGAATTTGCTGGTAATTTTAGTTATATGAAAGCTTTTTTATAAAAATATAATTGAATTGAACAATAACGTTTTTTATATATTCATATTATATTGCCGATCATTATTATCTTTTTAAAACCATCTGTTTCATGTAGAAATATTTTGACTTTTAGTATAATATTGATACAAATTTCTAAACAATTTACAGGCAAAAGCTATATTGGTCTGCCAACCTTTCTCTATGAACTAACTATTTTTAATCTACTAAAACCCTCACATTTTTATATTATATATTTTTTGTTATAAATGGCGAACTAAACAGTTGTCCTATCTTCATTTGATTTATTATTACAATTTTTGTAATACTGATGATTTTTTATTAATGTAGCAATGCTGGTGAGGGCTATTTTTAGTTGATAACATATTATCATCTATAATTTCAAGTGGAAACCCGTTTCAATACTGCTAGACATCAGGTTGTCCGAGGCGTGTTTAGAACTTCTGATTTGGAGTCCATAGCCTCACTTTAGGAATAGGTCACAGGAAGCCTCCAAAACTACACATTTAAATACTATTGCGACTATATACACATCGGAATTTTTCCATTGATGTTTTTACGCAAATATGTAGATTTTTTTATATGCTTGTGAACACCTATCAGAAGCAGTTGTCAATATATAATTATATAAAATTATATATGTTGTCGTGATCATTGATAGTCGATTATGGTAAATTTTTACTTATTGTTGTTCTTTTCCTGTGTGATGAATTTTTAACTGTCTGCAATGATGCCCAAGAGGGCTATTCTTACTTGGAAATATATTTTTGATCTATATATTTGAGAAAGGCTTTGCCGTGGATTAATGGTTAGAGCTATGGGATTTCAGTCAGAAAATACTCGCCTCGGGCAGTCTGATCCGTTTTCTTTATCAGAAATACAGCTAGCAATATGTTTTCAAATGAGAATTTTCCTTACCTGGTATTGCTGCATCAATAAAGAAATCAATCATCAATAATCGTCATCTGCATCTGCATCAATAATCAAATCTATAAAGATGGCATTTAAGTTAAAAGTAAATACATATGGTAACACTCGTGATGCGCACATATATATATATATATATATATATATATATATACGAGGTCTGTTCAAAAAGTACCCGTAATTTTCGTTTTTTCAAAAAAATATTTATTTATTCGTCTACATTAATGTGGTCCCCTTCAAAGTAGTCCCCCCCAGATATAATACACTTATGCCAGCGTTTTTTCCAATTTTCGAAGCACCCTTGATATTCACTTTTTGATATGTCCTTGAGCACTCTCAGCGATTTTCTTCAATCGAGGAAAACCGCCGTCCTTTCATGGGTCTCTTCAACTTTCGGAATAGGAAAAAGTCACACGGAGCCATATGTGGTGAATTTTTGCACTTTGCAACACTTTATTTCATTTTTTACGCAAAATTTAATACAAATTCTTTGACTTTTCAATTCTTCCATTGTAAAAATCGCCGAGCTCAGAAAAACACGTCGAACCTTAGCGACTACCACAGACAAAGTAAACAGTGAATATAGCTGAAAATTTCATCATACTTTAGGGGCATGTATACCAACACAATAAAAAAAAAATTTTGACAATCAGACACTCCAGACCCGCGAAATTTAATTATTAGTAATTCCGGGTACTTTTTGAACACACCTCGTATATATATATATATATATATATATATATATATATATACTTATTTATATGATAATAAATCATCAAAAATAAAAAAGTTGAAAATTGTAAAAACTGGTAGCTGATGAAGTGGGTGGTCTCAAAAAATTAGCACCTCAGTCTTGACATGATTTAGGCCTCCTAGCCATCGGAAATGCAAAAAATAAAAAGATTATTAATCTACAATGATGTCGCAATCGCCCGAACGAGCGATGAGTAAAAAAAAATTTTTTTACAAATTGGCGACTGTTTGAAAAAAAAGTGCTTTATTTACTGTGTTTCTGGGTTTCTCGATTTTTTAAAAATAGTAAAAATTGGAATTTGGAGATAATTCTAGTTAGGGCTATAGATAGGTCTATAAACAAGACTCTCTGAACATTTCAAGTGAATCGGTCGATTAAAACTCGAGAAATCGTGTCAACAGTACTGAAAAAGTCTGTTATGAGAAAAACGCATTTAAAGTTTCGCGTGAAGCCAAACCAGTATGGAGACCGAGTCAGTAAAATACCTATATCTCCGAAAATAATTCAAATTTTCAAAAACCTTCTCGTACCCATATTCTTAGATATGTAGTTAAACTTTGAAAATATGAAATAAATAAAAAATCGTTTTTTTTTAATTTTTACACTAGAATACCCCCTTAAATTCTGATCGCTATTAAAAAAAGTGAAAATCTATATAGCTACTGCGTGGTATCAGGTTGCACGCATGGCGGAACCTAAAGAAGTTACCAATTGCATCACGTGCTGCCCATGTAGAAAATTCGAAAGTATTTCCACAAATTATGAAGAGTTCTTTATGTATTTATTTTTTTATTTATAGCCAGTACCAAATGTTAATGTTTTATTATATTTTCAGTATCTGTTTCAATACAACTATTCAAAATGTCTTCATGTAAATAAACTTTATTTCAATACTAATTAATTAGAAATTTCTCTTAATATAAATATTTGATAGTGCTATTTTAATTGATGACGCGTATGCGTATTTGTATATTTACGCGATTATCGAGATGAAACTGCATCAATTATTACCAGATTTGTTACAGCAGCAATTGTAAATTTCTACTAATTATTAATGAGAGCATATCATTAACACTGACAGATTAGTTCTGTGTAAATGATTCCATCATAACAGCCGTATATGTAAATTGGATACATCATCATGAATCTGTAATGGCGTATTAAAATTATAATTGCAACAGCTAAGGGGAACGCTGATTCTGTAAACTTCATTTCCATATATGTATACAATTTCCAAGTCCGAAATTTTGCTTCAGACCTAATAATAATTCTGTGAATTATTATTCATGTCGGGGTTTGCATTCTATGAATGCAAAATTTGATTTATATTTTTGAAAGGTCAACAGTTCGCTTTCTACCGTCATTATATTTTGGCAAAAAAAAACAAATATCTAAAATTACTGGTTTTATTTGTCCTAACTTTGTCAATGAAGTTTATTGAATTTAGCTTTGCTTCAAGGGGGTATTCTTGTTAAAAAAAATTGATTCTGTTTCGTTTTTTTGATATTGTCAAAGTTTAATTATTCTAGAACATGTGTACAAGAAGGTTTTTAAGAATTCCAAATATTTTAAGAAGCATAGCTATTCGCAACGGTAAACTGCTTCTGCTTCCTTCTTCCACGAAACGTGTTTTTCTCGAAAATATCTTTCTCGATACGATAAGATACGATACCCACAATTTCTCATCTTTTACTAAACCGATTTTCTTGAATTTTTCTGATAAGAAGTGTAATTTCTTAATTACACTTCTTATCAGTTTGTACTACGTTCATCCCCAAATTCAGATGTTTTTATTTATGTTTTTAATTTATATTATTTTTTTTTAAAAAAAAGAATATCAAAAGAAGTTGTAAAAAAATTTTTTTCAGAGAATCGTTATTTTGTAACAAAACATTTTTTTCAACTTGACCTTAGCTATACGTTTGTTATATTGTTTATATTTCAATCGTAAATATTCACGTAAAACAATTTTTTTTAGCAAGATTCTGAAATTCGGATATATACGAGTATATATATATATATATATATATATATATATATATATCTGTAAAATTTCAGACATTCTAAATGTGATTTTTTATTTTACCCAAAATCCGTACGTTTGTAAAAGATGACCCATATTAGAAATACGATTTGGCTTTTTTACTGTCTGCCTCTAGACCACTAACAAGTGAAGTTTATTTAATTTTTTCGGTACGATTTTTTGCAATATACTGTGGAAAACACCAAAGGTTTCCGGTATCCGGATATTTTTACAGATAAATTTGGTTTGATTTAATTCAACTTTGCTATATACCTGCTGATCGATGATGCATGTTGATTTTTTAAAAAATATACAAAGGCAAACGCCATAGATTTTTAGTTTTTTATAAATATGGCTTTGATTTAACCAAACTCTGCTATATACTACTATATAATACTAATATACTAATATTAATATATAATATACTAATCAATAACTTATTCAATTTTTTAAAATGCGTCCGACGACAAAATTCAGTCCTGAACAAAATTCCTCACTGGACATTAATAACAAGCCGGTACCGTTATTTGGAACCGTATAAATACGAGACTCCTGAGATTCAGGGTCTCTTTTACCTCAGTCAGTCATGGCATACGAACCTTATAAATAAATACCATCTGTCAACCAATTTTGGACCACAATAAAATTATACAAATATAAACACCGTTTTATTATCCGCTTTATGCATAATGAAAGGCCAGTTAAAGGCCAAGCAAAATTTATCAAAATCCAAGTAACTATTCGATGAGATGACTATACAACAGAATTTTCGTAGGTATATATAGTAGCTGATAAAATATTATCAAATGGTTGAAATTGTAATTTTTTGTGAAGTATTGTTATGTTACGAAGAATTATCAAACACTATTTTACTGTCTTATAGCCTTTGTGCAAAGAAAAGAATCGTAGAAGAAAAAAATAATCCAATATTTTTATAGATTTATTTTTGTATTATATTTTTTTGAATAGGTAAACAATTTTGACCATTTTTTGTAATTTTTACTAAAATCATTATTCATCACAATATCTTTCATACAAAAAATTGGTCAAAATTAAAATATTTTGCCTTTCATTGATTTTTTGTTGCAATTATATTGGATTAAGGATTATTCAAAGCAGAAATTGCAATGTATTACGGTAGAAAATAATTATCAGAATTTTCTAGTTCATAATCACATTTATCTTCATTTCCTCGAACTTATCATTAATAGATTGAATCTAAAATCGTCAAGTGAAATTCAAAGTTTGATAATTTGTTGTTTGAAAGTGATTGATTATTAAAGCGAAGACTTTAGATGGATTTCATTAAAGCTTTCATGCAAATTACCTTTCAAATCCCAATACCTTTGATTTGCTTGAACTTTGAGTTTTCAATAATAAGAAAACGCTTTATTTTAACGTATAATCGAGTATTACATCTTTAATGGAAAAGTATGAAATACAGCAAATGATCGAATAAGGAGAGATATTATTGTCATGACAAAAATGCTTAATAACTGCAATACTATTTTTATTATTATATTAATAATGTTTTTATTTGGAGGATTGAAGTCTGATCGTGGAATTAAAGATCTTGATATGTTATCTTGATAATTTTACGTTTTTCTATTAATTAATATAAGTTTTACTTTACTGAGATAACCATTTAAAATCCAATACCCTGCGCAAGGATGACACTCAAATCGTAAATCGTACAATTAAATGCATTGTTTTGACTTTATTATATGGATTTTTGAATGAATGGCAGCTCAGTAGTTGTCTAATCCAATTATGACTAATTAACTATACTCTGTATTTGTTGACATTTTCACTTGAGGCTATATTTGAAATGTATAACAATTGCATCATTTTAATTACCACATGTCTAATATGAGGCAGATGGTAATTTATATTAGAAAAAAAATCTGACCTTTTGCTATTGATTTACAACGATACATAATTATGTACATTTTTTCCTTTGAAACTTGGTATAGTGATAATTATATAAGATTTTGAATAAATTATAGTGTACTTGATTATGAGTACAAGCAGTTCCAATTTGCTTTTATTTAGTGCCCTTTTATTTTATCAAGGTTTGGTAAGATTTTATCTTTTACATTGAAAATATTTTTAGATTCTATAGAATTATGATTCAATGTAACACTCATAATAAATTTCTATTTTTATTTCAATTCAGGTCCCGTCGGTCATCGAACAATGCTCCGTTACCACGACTCAACCCAAACGATGAGTCCTACATCAGGTTGGCCGCGGATACGGCTGAAGAACTTGACTGGTGTCTGGACCAACTCGAAACTATCCAGACACATCGCAGTGTTTCTGATATGGCATCACTTAAGGTAAGATTTTATACATTATTATTGTCGAAAAAACCCATGGAATAAATGACTTCAGAATTAGCCTAGAGAAAATTTATAAGGAATTATTAATGGTAACCGACATGTCGTTGTTTTGGTTAGATAGTATTTACGATTACAACAACGGTAATATTGTTATTACTAATTGTGGTATATTTGGTGAACGCGTGTTGTTACTACGTTAAATATTAAAATTAATCCAGCGACAAAATTCAGCCCTGAATAGAATTTATCACTGAGGTTCAGGGTCTCTTCCACCTCAGGCAGTCATGGCATAAGGACCTTATCAATAAATACCAAATCTGTCGTTGTTTTGGTTAGATAGCATTTACTATATTTTCAAAATGGTAATGTTGTTATTACTAATTGTAGTATATTTGGTGATAGCGTGTTGTCACTACGTTAAATATATCTTACAGTATATTAATACTTAATTGCGTATAGATAAAGGTTGCAATCTTAGGATTATTGTCTAATGGATACCCCGTTGCACCCCAATGGCTGCAAAACGATTGTTAGGACGACTGATTGTTTCATATACTATTTTTTACTTCGAATTTTGATTGTTCTTATTGGTCAAATGATATCGATTATTAATCATTTACTAGGCCAAACATATTTGTTATAAACTATTTTGTCAAATAGTATAATCGCAGTCAGAAGCGACAAAAATCTATGTGTTCATTAATATTTTTCTCAAACTTTTTTAATGTTAATGGAGTAAATTACAGTGAAAAAGTCCAACGAAACTAATAGCTCAAAGATCGAAACAAATAGAGAATAATTTTCAAAAATTTCGATAAATCAATTAGGAAGGAATTGTGAATAAAAAATATTGCTGGGCTTCTATCTTGGTACACCTTCTACCTTGGCGTGCCAAGGTAGAAGCCCAGCAATCTTTTTTTAATTGACAATTCTTTCCTGATTGATAAATCGATTTTTTAAATTTATTCTCCATTAGTTTCGCTCTTCGAACTATTGCTCTTGTTGGATTTTGCACTGTAACTTACTCCACGATTGAAGTTTCTTCTTCAGTCTATCAGATTTAGATGAGAATTTTAATGCAATACTATCTTATGTTTTTATTTTAAGAGGCCAATTCTTGGATAAGATAGAAATGTTATGGATATGTTACTTCACAGGTCTATCTTTGTATGAGTTGGTAGTAACGAACGTAGTTTGTTTTATGTGTAAAAAGCCTAATCGCGCAGCAAATACATACATTAACAGTTGGTCACTACCAACTCATAAGAATATAGACCCACAACATCTTAATTCTATTCGAGAATTGGCTTTTAAGGTTAGCTTCTTCCTATATTGTTAAATTGGTACTTGCTATTTCGATAGTTCCATGGTACTTATTTCAAATAATCTAACTTAAATTCAGAATATCTGAAATAAAACATCGTATTTTATTCTCATTTACTTTGTCCCATTACATAAATCCGCTATA